CGGGGTACAGCTTCGACGTTGAGGCGATCAACGACGGGGTGATGTCGGCGCTGTCTGGGGCGTGGATGGACGCGCTGTGCGAAGATAGAGAAAGCCGAGCTTTCGGAAAAGGGAGGGAACGACAGGGCGGGCGGGTAGCAACTTATATAGTGGTGCTCGGACAAGTCATGGACTATTACGGGCCTCGATGTGAGTCATTCACAGCTTCAAGCGAGCCTTCTGGCCCTTTGGCTAATGCGTATTGTGCACAAGCCCGGGAACAATGGGGATCACAAAAAGTGCAGAACAGCTCAAGAAGTTGTCTGCTTTTGGAAATCTCTGCCGGAATCTCAACAATCCATGGGGCCCAAAGCCACAACACGGCCTTTCAGGTTCATCTTGGTCATCGTTCTGCTGGCCCAACTCTCTGTAAGCCAGAATCTACGAATTTTCCAGTTGGTTGTGGAGGATTCCCGTCATGAGCAAATTCGTTCATACCTGATATCATAAGCACCACCACAGGGCTCGGGGACTTGCACAGCCTGTCTTCCCGAGTCCGTGGGCCTTGCTTACCAAATGCAGCTCAACGATCGTGCACCTGGTCAAATACTTTAGCGCCACCGCAGTCATCCATGAAACGCCCTTTCCTGCTCACATCTCTGTCGAATACGGCGCTTTGCTCATAGCCATATGTTGCCTTTTTTCCCATGACAACTGCGAGTCAATTCCTTATTGGAGAGCAAGAGTCAGGTGTCAACAAGTCATCCAGACATCTTCGCATTACGGCGTCGTACCCCTTGCAGTGCACGCAAAATTGGCTGTTGAAACGCTGAAATCTCACTCGAGGACTGTGATGTGATGGTCACTGCGCAGGTACGGCAATCCCTACTTATACGTCAACCTGGTGTGTTTCACTATCCTCGGTTTCCAACCGGGGCTCTGACAATTTGTGTCGGAAAGGACAGCCAACACGATGCTCGCATCAATGCATCAAATCTTGGACACCATCTGCTATTCTTGACCAAATCTTTTGCTCTTCCAGACCTCCAGGCTCTAATTTAGGAACCATAAACGCGCAATTTATACAGCCCATGGTCCCTGCAGCGCATATAGTCTTCCAAATTCAATTGCAAAGCCGCACAATGACCACACACAACATCCCGCATCTGATGCTTTTCTTCGATGCAATGCGCTTCCGTCGATTTCCAACTACCCCAATTCATTGAACCACGATCAATCGAACCCGCATATACACAGTCATGGAGTCACTGGGATATTAAAGATCTAAACGGAAATTTGCCTCCACTCCGATCAGTTAGAGGTGCAAGGCATTAGCATCCCTTGCAGTGCCTTCACTGTCATCATAGATTCCGAACCCTGCGGCCAAGGCCCTATCTCAATTGTTACAAACCCCCTCCGGCGGCACACCAAGCCGGGCACGCACCTCAATGCTCAATGAATCAAACGATAAGCAATCGATTTATCAGACGCTCGCACCATAGGCCGCCCCGACTGGCCTTTCTTCTTCAAACTTTCCAATCCCACGAACACGCGCATATATCTGGCGCCGTGCATGCATGTTGATGCTCGGAGTGATCACCATACCCATCAAGACAAGTCACCCCAAGTATCTGTCTATCGGGTCCCCCCAAGGTTCAAAACAATCTACAGTACACACCGGCAGAATCGCAGTCCGATCGGGTAATCCAATGCCAAGTCCCCATCGGTTTCGTCATTGGAACAAACCGACGGCTTTCTCCTGTGGGTTAAACGGCTTATTCTTTCGAAAAACAAGGGAGGAAGGCTACTAATAGAACGAACCCCCGAAACGTTGAGGCGCCTTCAACCTTCGAGGTACCGTGACATCATCCCACTCTTCTGGGACTTCATGGTCGACGGCGCTCCAACTTCCTCCTCTTGTTCTTCTTGTACTCTGGTCACGACTTCCAACCGACGCCACAGGGTGTCAACAACTGAGTCGACTCATGACGATATTCACTCAAACATGGACATACATGGATGTTTCTTACGGCGTTGGCGGAGCTATTTATAGAAAGGAACGACTCCGGAGGGCCTGCTGCACGGTGACAGGCAGCAACGAACCCAAAATTGAAGCCATTGGCGCCGGAACCACTACAGGTTAGAGTTCCTGCACAGTCAAGCGCTACCGCTACCGTAGCGCTTTGCATTTCATTTCATTTTGGGGTTGACGTCGACGTTACAGTGAACTGGGGAGTCAGTGACGTCACGAAAATGGGTCGTGCTTGTGCAAGGGGCTGGCTGGAAGCGTGGATGGTGCTGCGTATGCGTAGCATGCCGGGATCTGCAAATGAACGCATACAACTTGAAGCTCGGGTTCACAGTTCAGAGTAAGTCCCTTCAGGTACTGGCGTCGGACGTTGTTTGCCGTCAAGAAGAAGGAAGCCCGAGGCCGCAGCAAGCATTCGGCAGTTCAGTCGGTATGGCTTGCCATGGTCTTTTGGCCCGCTCAAACGACACTCAGCTGGGCCTGTATGGGTCCAGTAATCTGGCCAGGTAGTTCGACGAGTCAGGAGCCAATAGGGTAAGTTACCGTCCTCGGTAGCTGCAGGGTTCGAATGGCAGTGACTTGGTTACCCACTGACACTTATCTTCGGCCTAGGAGTGGGTCTGTGTACGCCTACAAGCGCCCATAAAACGCATAAACTCCGTGAACTACGAGGAACTACCCAATGCTCAAGTGAAGTTGACCTGTGTCTCGTTTGAATTCACACTTCGCCACACTCACACTAATATTACAGTAATTCATATCCATGGATGTTTCTTTTCCTCTCTTTCTCCGATCTACAAGTACAAGTACACCACAACTTGACATCGCCGAGGCAACGTCAACCTTGGACATCTGCACCGCATCGCTACCGTACAACTTGTACAAGTGACCAAGCTTACAACCTCCGATCTATGGTACTCCAGCTGCTTTCGATCTTGTGTACGGTACCGGGATGCACTAGATGGAAGGGAAGACGGATTTGGGTAACATCATCCCGACCTAATCCGGTGCATTGAATCAAGGATAATCGAATGTGAAGTCCATACGGATAGACGCGGACCAGGATTTCAAATTTGGGTTGATGCGTCAAGTAAGAGGTCGAGTCAGCGGAGTAAGAGGTGAGTGGCGGTAAGATAAGGTGACTTACGACGTAGTTTGGCATATCGACCTGCCAGAGCGTCAAAGTCAAATGGATGTGTGGGGTAGACAAGTCGAGTCAGTTTCAGTGATTTCCATGGTGGTTATATGAAGAGAGAGACCAGGACTCGGAAGGGGTGGGGAGAAAAATATTTTGAATGAGGGATCCCCGTCATGGCGGTGGAATCCGGGTTAACAAAGGCCAGATTCCAGCACCAGAAATCCAAGATACGAGCAGAATGACTGGGGCGTACCACTTCGTGCATCCTCAGATCCCCAGCGACACTACAAAGCATATAAGCATCCACCCTGTCGATCCCATGTTGTACGTTGAGATAAGTGATCATGTTTCTGGTAGCTTCACGAGCTGCTTCGCGTGGATCTGGACCTACGCCCGTCGTGCCATAATATTGTTCTTCTGCTTGGAGTTGATCTGTACCGGAATTGGAATCAGAGGTCGGGGATATGCGTTTGACTTTGGGGGATGTGTAGAAGTGGGGTGTGGTTGTGTATGGTCGGTCTTTGCGAACCGTGAGTCGAATGGTGACTTCCATGGGTGTTTCTATGGCGGTTCCACAGACCTCTGACTCAGAGAGGTGTTAGACATGACCGTTACGAAGACATGTGTAGCGTACCTCCATCTCCTTGAGCAGCATGGCCGTCCTAGAGAGACATTGCATCCGAATGAATCTACAAAAAGCGATCGAACCACTCACCCCGATGGAGAACAACGCCCCCTCTACCTCAATCGGCAAAAACAACGTCGCCCCAGCTTCCAAATACTTCGTATCCAAATTCCCACCTGTCTTATACGGCGGAATAGTCGAGAACGCTCCCTTCTCACCTGGAGCAACACCCATCTCACCCGCAAATGGTCTTAACGGTACTTTAATCCCCTTCGTCTCATCAAATACCGCTACACCTCTTTCCTTATCCAATTTCCATATCCTCAGATGTGGGTCTTTGAACTCTTCGTCGTCTGCTAGGAGACCGAATCCAGGGATTAATCCTGTCCAACCCCAATCGGCTGGTTCGATGGAGATGACGTCTATTTGGAGGGTGTCGCCTGGAAGAGCTGAGGTTATGTAGATCGGTCCGTTGACCTGGTCGAGTTGGGAGAAGACCAGAGAGGAGATGGCTGATACAGCGGATGTAGAGTTTATTTGACCGTTGGAGGCGTCTAAACAGGAGACCGAGACGAGGGAGCCAGATTCGACTGTTAGGACGGGTGGGATGCTTGATATTGGTTGATTTCGGTCGACAGTGGGGAGAAGTAGATCGGAAGCTTTGGATATGTTGGAAGATAAGGTGTTTCTGTAACTTACCTGTTATCCCATGCAAGATGACATTGGGAGCGCTTGACACTATGGATGGACATGTTTCCAAGTACGTAGTACGGTCGATGCCCTTCAGCAAGTGAAGCCTCGGTCGAGGGTGGTCACCTTGATGAGTCAAGTCAACTACTCGCCGTCTAGTGGGAGAGCTAGTCGTCCAACCGGCAATAGTCCAACCGGAAGGCTTATGGAGAATACTCATGGTCGCTGACAAGCGAAGGAAACCCATGAGGTCTGACTTCAAAGAGGGCCCCTTTCCCAGAGACTGTATTTCTACGGCACAGCGCCTCGTATGAGCCTGAGGTGCCGGTTCCAAGAGCTTTTGCCGGGGCAAATCCAATTTACCTTGAGGGTCAGAAGCTGTTGTCGTCCAGTGGGTAGGTTGACTAGTATAGGAAAGGCCAGAAAGACGCCCCAGCCACGATGTCTGTCTGGGGGGATCGTAAGATCTCGTCCTCGTAAAATGCCCGATAAAGAGAAAAGATTGAGAGGAAAAATAAAACCGTGAAAGATAAAACGGATGACCCCTAAGCGAGTTGAACGCTTGACCTTGAGGAATTTCCAGAGCGCTGGAATCTCACGCTCTACCACTGAGCTAAGGGGTCCGTTGAAAGAATCGGCAGACATTGCAACCACATTCCCTCCGACCCCGTAGCCACCCCTGTTGCAAAGTCGCGATCCTACAGCACACTCTCTGCTTCTTCCCTTCTGCAAATCACTACAAGAGCAAATAGATCACGATTACGGAGCACTATCACAAAACGGGGGGCGATTGCTAATTACAGAGTTACACTGGACTCAGACTTTATACATGGACTAATACATTTAGTGAGTGGCCACAAACTTCTCGTTCAACCCCTTGATTGAAGGTACGAAGAAGTATTCTCCACCACGGGGAACAACCCAAGGATCGGCGGGGAGAGCCAATTCTTTGCTGGGGTCGTTGGGGTCGTAACCAGACAACTTTCGGTTGGCACCTTGGCCAATGATGGGATCGAACCTATCACGTATCGGTAAGAAGATACCAGAGCAGAAAAGAGACTACGACTTACCCTGGAACTTGTGGTGTCTTCTGGAATGGCGGGAAATTGACATTGTTGGCCCAGCCTAAGAAAATCAACGAGTGAATACCAATAGTGATGCAACACGAGAAGAACGCACTCTTCTGGATGAACTGGAACCCGTTAACGATGCTGCTTTGGTAGCACTGGAATAACAATCCACGAGCAAAGATAGTGCGCTGCTCGCGTTGTTCCTGCTTCGAGACTTCGGGTCCGAATTGAATACCACGACGCAAGATACGCTTGGTTTCGATAGAAATCCCGTTGGCTTCAAGATCGGCGCGTGGGTTGGTCTTGCGAACGTGAGCAGCGAAGGGGCAGATCTTCTGGAAGTCGCGTTCGGCGGTGAACTCGAAGCTATTGACCCTAGTACCAATAGCAATTAGAATTAGGAAAACGGCATTTCAGCAAGTCGGACATACTTGTCCGGGTGATCAACCAGATCGGGATCATCTTCGAAGGGAGCAAGATCGACAGGTGCACCTAATAGGTCGTAGGGGTGAGTATGATGTCACGTCGGAATGAGAGACCGGCCTTACCGCTCTGCCAGCGCCCAACGAGCCTTGCTCCGAGTAAGTCGGCACCCTCTTTCTTCGAAAGGCCAGGCAATTGGAGGGAGTTATCGCTCAAGAACTTGTTAAATTCAGGGACCTTCTGGTGGAGATACCTGAAGACGAGGAAACTTCCATCGACCATCCAGTCGTCACGAACGTTTGGTTTGCCAGTTGAGTCATTATCACCATCCCTACCGAGGAGGACGATACCAGGATGAACGGGGGCGGGGCCAGGAGGAATCTTCTGATCAAAGCCGATGACGAGGGGGTTGGAGATACCATCAAGGAACCCGAAACTATGAAAAGTGGGATAAGCACTCGGATGATAATGCACTAGAGGAAAGATCAACTCACTGCTCGTGGCCAGACTCAACGCCAGGCCTAACATCACCAGAGATGCTGAGGATGTGACAAATAGACGACTTCGGTGTATTCACTCCGAATATTTTCTCGATCTCTCGGATCTTGCTATCAACCGTGGGGTGGGAGTCTCCAGCAACCAAGAAAGACCCGTGGATTTGATTCCCTTTGAAAGCAGCATCCCAGTCGGGGACGAAGGTAGGGCCTGTACCGCTACCTGGGTCGCCCAACCCTTCGGCATCAGCGGCTTGTCCACCGAGGAAAGCGGTGTCCAGCAAGTTGGTATCGACAATTCCGAGCTATTGGACGTGACATGATGTTAGGCTCATTCGACGGCGATGATGTTCGTGAGTCTTACTTTAGCAAGGCCTGCATGGGAGAACCCAACGTTGACACCGGCCAATTTGATCAAGTGGGGTTTGCCTCCAGGGAGATGTGGAGCATTTTTGTGATCGTCAATCTTCTTGCGGTCTTTGAGGACTTGGGCAACGGTCTTGACGAGAGGAATAAAATTCTTCAATTGTTGCTTGAATAAGTCGGGGTTGTCGATTCCAAAGAAGTAGTTCGTCTCTGTCTTTTTTGGAAAACCGCTCCTATAGGCGAGTAATGTTCTGCATTAGCAATGGTCGAGATGGACTCGAAAGATAGACTGACAGGATATCCCCTTGGATGTTGTTCAAGTCGAGATCGATGACGGGGCCTGGCGCCTTGGCAGGACTCTGTTGTTTAGCTTGGTCTGACATAGATGTTGATGTAGGAGAACGATGGAGGAAGTGGAGCTGGACTCTGATAGATAGTAGGTTGGTGTCCCTTTTATACGCCCAGGAGTACCGACGTCCAAGTGGGGTGCCTCGGACAGAAGATGATTTCATGATGCGTTGAGATGACAGCATCTGGGAGTAATGGAGAGGTCTCTGAATTGAGATGTTTCCAAACCTAGGTCCCAAAGGAATAAGGTTAGGTGCGGTGATTCTGATTCACCAAACGGCTCGAACGCTATTGGCGGATGTTATATATATGACTTGGCATGTACCATAGGCGCAGCCGCGCAGGAACTGAGAATGTTCCACTCACTTCGCAAAGTCAACGAGACCGTGACAACAAGTATTAACGGCATAGCTTGTTTCGTAAAGCAGCGCGCGTTCGACGCCATCTACTTCGTCCCCCGGGTGCAGTGATAGATGAAAGTCATGAGTTGCCGCCGGCGCTACTGTGGATCAATTCGAAAACTATAATTGAGATTACCGTCCTCAACGGGTAATCTTGAAGGGTTTATTGGCATAAAGATCCTGCCAAGCCCGTTGAAAGTGTGACCTCTTGACTTTGTGATCATAGAGCCAATCACGGTTTATTTATAGGGTCTCGAAGTCTGAAATGAAATGGGGAGTGCGACTCTGTGAGTATGTACAAGCACCCCAAGAGGCCCGACTAGGTATGGTAAGCATAGCCTCTGTGATAACACTTGTAAAGGTGTGAAAGTCTTATCAGCAACGACCGTAAATCGTACCGTAGCAGTCAATAACCTGGGGCCATTTGCGTAGTTCGCGGTGCGCCAAGTATGAAAGATAAGGGCAAGTCCCGCAGCCTGAGTCCTTGGAAAGCCCTAAAAATTCGAGGGGCGTTGACGTTTGAGAACTCCCGTTGTACCTTTACAAGTTTACAAGGTCCCCACAATTCGGCTCTCGACTTGAAGTTCGTGCCGAGCTGTGAGCGCCCTGCAGACCTTCCTAACTCATAGAGAGCCTCGTAAGCCATTACAATGATTGGAATTCTGTGTGGGCGACAGGTTTATGCGCGCTCTCTGGGCATTTCTCGGGTCCTGAGCGTCGATAAAGTGTACTCCACATGTACAGGGTCTTCACCGGGCTTGACGGATGGACGAAGCAAGAAGAAGTAACGTGGCCGATGGCAATGGCACTGGATAAGATGCAAACTGTTCGTCCGGATTGGGACCTATATTTGGCTATGACGGTGCTGCCAAACAAGCCGAACAGGTTCGCACAGACCGTCATGATCAACGAACATCTCCAGTGACCCAGGTGCTCGCGCTATGTAAATATGCCACCTGACGCACTTCCAGAGGATATACCAACACTAGTCGCCGAATTGAACCTTCTGGTTCGTAATCTCCGCCTCCCATTCGTCCTGGAATCACCTACCGACCTTACGCCATCCCTTCTACTTGCAATTCTCGAACGACTAGTTGCACAGCCGATACCGTTGACAGAACACCTACGTTACTCTCTGTCATCAAGCTCCGGTCCTGACGAGAAGTCGTACGGAAGGATTCAGATTACCAAACTTTTCTTGGGAGTTCTGTTGGACTGCACTTTGTTGGACAAAGATGTAGGGTTGACTGATATAGACCCGAGAAAGTTGGCTAACGGAGATTGGGAAGAAGTCGTCTTCATTGGTCAATTACTTTGCTGGATAGCTCGTAAAGCTGGCGTTTTGCAATTCGACGATGATGACCACATTCGTTCGAATGGAACCCGAAGACACCGGTCGGACCAGGCCAAATTACTCCCAGACGCTCCTATTTATCCGCTATCGGAGGGCTTCACAAGTCATTCGAACGAAGTCCGATATTTCGGCTTTATAAAGCCCGTCGACGAGGACTCCGAACTCGAATCTTTCGAAGCCAATCGAAGTATGCTTTCCGCTTTACAAGGGCGGCCTAGCGGGAACGAGGTATGTCTGTCAAAAATTTACTTCAACCTTGGCATATTTATAATCTGGGTTAGGACCCCCAAGACTTCAGGAGCCAAACACAGCTATGTGAACGAACCTTGACCCTTTTGGAAGAGCGAGCACGTCTTTTGAACGAACTTGCGAAGCTGCAAACACAATAAATCAGGATGAAGCCCTATGCGCTTCTTCTACACGGACGAAGCGCTGGCAGTGGGCCGGCGCTTTTATAGCTGACCGCGATTCGGTAAGTGCTCAGAGTTTGCTCGTTGGATGTTCCAGGACTTAGTTCATTTCAGAACCCAGATGTTGTGTCTGTACGACATATTTATTCAGTCGGATGTTATTGATATCCCTAATCGGATTGTTGGATGGAATACTGAATGTATACCCTACCTTGACTCTCTATATGTATTCTGTACTACCTTATACTACTTACCGGTAATAATCCTGGCTTCCTGCAATTCCTCTTGAAGCGTGACATACGCGTTATTCCTTGTCACTCCATCTCAACTTGGACCACCGACGCGGTCCACAAGCTCTCCATTACAGATTCCTCCAAAAGCACCAAACTCGGTGCATACACCCTCTTGAATGGGGGACTCACTATACGTGGCATGTGCCGAGGTACTTTCAATATCTCAAAGCAAGCGAAATGACCTTGCTTCCCTCCTCGATCCAGAAACCGGTTTCGCACCGCGTTTAAGGCAAATATGTCGCGACCAGTGAGTCATTCATTCATTCTCTTCTGTGTGAACAGTCTAACTGGGTTGGGGTCTACGTAGGATTGCGGATTTGGAGGATGTTGCGGATAGACGAACTAGTAGAGAACAGTTGGAGTTGTTGAGGTTGGAACAGAATACTTGGGGACTTTTACAGGCTGTTATGCCGTGAGTGGCAATCCCCTCTTTGCCATATTACATTGACCACCGACTAATCATC